AATCAGACAGTCTGAGAAGAGAAAGACAATCAACAAGAGGCGAGAGATTGCGTTTGAGAGAGAACCAGTGGGATCAAGAAGACAGACAGAAGGGTGAAGAGTGAACATGTAAGAGAGGGAAAGAAAGGGAGATATCTATTCAGTTAAAACAGACTGCTGTTGTATTAATCGTCTTTCCCATCACGAAAGACTCTTTCCAGCAAAGTGAGGACACCGATGCTCTTGTGATACCCTTCCAACTCCTGTCACCACCATATATGCCCGTGAACCACAGGCCAGCGTAACACTGCACAGTTGTGACACTCACCAAAGGGATCCAAGGCCTTACAGTAACACCCAACTGGGGCAGAAGCCCTCTCTGTACTGAAACCCCTACATGCTCAGTGTATATGCGCATGCTTCCCATTTGCAGTTTACCTGGACAGCATGATTGATTAAGCTGGGGAGCAATTGGAGTCGGACAATTGAGCGTGAGAGCGAGAAGGGAGATCCATCATTGTGAAGGCTCATGCCTAATCTTGGCACTAGATAAATGGGCTCAGATGTGTGCACATACTGTGTGTCTGTGTCATGTGTTCGTGGGCATGTGTGTGTGTGTTCTGTGCATGCATATATGTGGCTACACAGTCTCTCCATTCCTCATAAAACACACACTCCTGCACACTCATTGCTAGGGGTGCTTTTCAAGATCAAGGAGGAGGCAGGAGGCTACTCTTTCTTTTCCTTCTTTGCCTTTGCAAGAGGAGGGAGGGAGGGGAGCCGGGGGAAGATGAAGGCAAAGGGGACAAGAGGAGGTGGCATAGTGTTTCCTCTCTGTGTGCATTATGAATGAGCCACGTCCGCAGTGTTCGATCAGCAGCTCTCTGATGGCTTGAAGGTGGCCCGCTGGGGTTACCTAAGACTCTGTATTTGTGTCTTTGTGAGCTTGAGTGTGTGCAGCAATGACTGTGACAGAGGAGTCACCAGGGTCACACATGCTCAAACATGCATAGATAACAACACAAGATGTTTTTATGCTCATTCACTATCTTTAAGTACAAATCAATAAGGATGTTACCGGTGACAAAATGAGGATTTGAAGTCCAATACAAAACAGTGGCAGTTCTCCACAAGGTGCTATTTGAGTCAATAAAGACATAATCCTCAGCAACAGCTCCAAATCCTTTTTGGATTGGCTTTTACTCACAAGCTACAATGTGGTCCATAATAACACACACCTACGGTATACACAATGTTCAAATACGCATTTTTCCATCTAATCATAAGAGCATCCTTTGGTAACTCTGACAACATGATGAGGGCCTCTCTAACTCCATGGCAACATGACAAACACAACTCCCCATTCATAGATAAGGATACGCCTGAAGAGTAAGTGAAATTTCTATATGCGTATGCACTATCAGCTGAGCTCAGTCACATTGCCACAGAATAAAACTGCATTTCACCCTTTATCACTGCTGACATTGGACTGCTGAACATTTACAAAGCTCCCTTACAGAAACCAACACATAGCTGTCTTGTTGCAACACATGCATCAATTCCAATCTTCTCAGTTAAACTTTCTCTTTTAGTTTTATAGTTAGGAAAAAAAAAGCTAAACAATGTCTAAACCACGATGAATGGAAAAATAAGTTTGACTTTCAGGATGTTTTTTTGTTTTTCAGGAAAAAAAAGGGTTTTAAATTAGTCGTCACATGTCTGTTAGTACGGTATATCAAATGTACTGTAATATAAGTAAGGATTAAACAATGAGGAGCCATACATTATACGGTTTGAATGCACGCAGCGGAGTCTAAAACACATTCAAACCATATAATGTA